CCCCGTCTCTACTAAAAATACAAAGAAATTAATCGGACAACTAAAAATATACAGAAAAAATTAGCCGGGCATGGTGGCGCATGCCTGTAGTCCAGCTACTCGGGAGGCTGAGGCAGAAGAATTGCTTGAGCCCAGGAGTTTGAGGTTGCTGTGAGCTAGGCTGACGCCACGGTACTCTACCCCGGGCAACAGAGTGAGACTCTGTCTCAAAAAAAAAAAAAAAGAACCTTTAGGATGAGAAACACCCTCCTCTCACTGGAATTCGTTGGCTTAGTTTATGAGAAGACCCTAGTTTCTGGAGGCAGCTGAACTGAGCCATACCTCCGTCGAGCACTCATATCCACAGGCTCATCGATGATGTTTTCTTTGCCTGGCCTTCCAGCAGTCCTGTTGTCTCCATGAGGCCTGAGATTCCCATTAAGTTTTTCTTCATAGCCCTTGACACCACTGCCATCCTGTTTGGTGGGTAACTCATGTGGCACCTCAAGATTTGCCAAATCCTTTCTTTTGAGCAGTGCCAACATTTTCAGACGTTCCATGGCTTCATGTCCCTCCATTTTGAGTCGCTTTGCTAGGACATCATCTCGTTCATCTGCTGGGTCCAAGCTCCGCTTTAATAGATTCAGGCGAAGAGCATCTTCTGTCATTCTGTCCATCCTAGGCAAAGAAAAACACAAGTGAGATCAGAATAAAGTTCTTTAAATAGTCCATAAGAAAAGAGGCCAGGCACAGTAGTGGCTTATGCCTGTAATCCTAGCACTTTGGGAGGCCAAGATGGGAGGATCACTTGAGGTCAGGAGTTCGAGACCAGCCTGAGCAAGACTGAGATGCTGTCTCTACTAAAAATATCAAAATTAGCTGGGCATGGTGACAAGCTCCTGTAGTCCCAGCTACTTGAGAGGCTGAGGCAGGAGGACTGCTTGAGCCCAGGAGTTTGAGGTTACAGTGAGCTATGCACTCTATGCACTCTGTACTCTAGCCTGGACAGAGCCAGACCTTGTCTCTAAAAAAAACAAAACCAAAACAAAACAAAGAATGTAATAGTCCATAAGAAAAAAAGGTGGGATGGTAAAGTTATTACATTACACACATACACACACAGAAGTTCAAAGGTAACTGAGCTAACCTCCTATATTATCCTAGAACATGTATTAATATATTAAAGGAGATTTCAACCTCAGCAATTTAAGTAAACTTAAATTTACTTAAATGAGCCCTGTTGTTACCTGCCCTCAATTCTATACAGATTCAAAATCTTGAAGACTCTTGGGTTTTCTTAATGAAGAACTCAAGTGGTTAGTTTAATAATAAGAAATACTTTCTCTACTCACGCAGCAAAATTATTAAAGGCAAGCTAATCATCATCTTCCCTTCTCACTTTGATTTTTTACACTAACAAAATCTAAATGCAAATTTAGATAAACAGATTTTCTCTAATGCTTTCAAATCCAAGGCTGTTGTATCTTCATAGGAAATAACAATGATGAACTGGAAAGAAAATTCTCTCAGTCATAGAAACATAGGTTAAAACTGTTACTTACTTTTGCCGGGTCAAATATTTAATAAAACTTTTCATGCAAACAAAAAAGAATAATAAGTGACTTTATCTTCTCAAGTTTCAATTTCATCTGTAAAAATCGGATGCTTAGAAGGTGCTCGAAAATTTTAATTTCTATATCCTAAGGAAGTGAGGTTCTATCTAAGGTATGAGATTGGGTCCAGTAATTCACGGAATCAAGTAATTAGACAGAAAAACTACCAACATTAATTGGTGCCCTTGCAAAGGAAACTATTAGTATGTATGTGTTTGAGGTATCTTCTTCCTGTAGTGCAGAGTAAAACAGGGCTATATGATTCTTCCTCAGTTATAATGAAGACAAATACTAAACAAAAGAATTTCAAACAAAGGGTAACACTTTTTAGAGACTAGAGAAAACTCAGAACCTGTATCTCTAAATTCTGGGGTAATGTTTCTTAATTCTCTCTTTTTCTATTTTCTTCTTCTTCTTTTTAAATAGAGACAAGGTCTCCCTCTTGCTCAGGCTGGTCTTGAACTCCTGAGCTCAAGTAATCCTCCTGCCTTGGCCTCCCAGAGTGCTAGGATTACAGGCGTGAGCCACCATGCCTGGCCGGAATCAAGGTTTTCTTAAGGCCTAAGATTAAAAAAAAAAAAAATCACAACTCCTAGAGACTAAAAAACTATGGAAACAGGAAGAATGAGGCACCCAACTGAACCTACCTGGGGTAGCCCACTCTCAAACCAGTTTTTCTTTCCTTCCCCCTCGATCCTTAGTTCTAGGGTACTTTACCTTCTGGACCACATTTTCTTTCTGTAGCTGACTCTGTCTCAGTTTCTTTAATAGCACCAGTCGGGCTTCTTCCAATCGTAGTTCATCCCTCAGCTGCTTGATGAGCTGTTGCCGTTCCTCAATGCCTTTCCCCTAAAGAAACGTGGAGATTGTCAGCTATGGCAGCAGGTACCCAGAATCCCTTCCTGTAAGAGACGATCTTTACTTTTTAGTTCTGAAACCTTTATCTCCCTCAAGAGGCAGAAGTGGCAACGCGATTATCTTTGTATCTCAGGTTTAGCACAGTGGCCGGCATTCAGTAGGTACTCAAAAAATGTTTACAGCAGACCACATATAAATGCTAATCAGGTAGCTTCCTGAAAAAATAGAAGAATGACAAAAAAGAAACATTGTTTTCTTTTAAAATAATGTTTCTAAAACTCTTAAAGCTACATTTCCTCTAGATATACATAAAAATTTAGGAATCTTTCCATACTCTGAGACTTAGGATAGAGTACAGAAGATATCCTTCCAGCCAAGAGTTTACTTTATGTGACTTGAAATATGAACTTTTGTTTTCATTTTCCAAAGATAAATTATATTCAGTATAACTGCATATGTATGCTTTTTCAAACTATCTTCTGTACTTGATTTGTTACTTCCAAAAGGGCATGCCCTTGAAGTTGAGAATCACTATGAAGAGTTTTCATTAATGGGTAGTTATTTAGAGCCAAAAAGTAAACAGTCAAACACCAGAACTGGGACTAGATTTAGCGAAAATAGAAGGAACATGGAATGAAAAAGGATATTTTTCTTTCTTTTTACCTTAAACATCTCTAGGTTGGCTGCTTTGAGTCTTTCTTCCATTCTGGAGCTGGAACGGGGACTGGAAGCCTCATTATCAGACAAAACAATGATGTCTGGGGAGGGGGTTAGCCTTCCTCGGTCTGGCTCACTAGAGAAGAAAAAGAAAAATTAAGGTATTTCCAAAAGCGAAGATCCACAATAAGTTTAAAAACTTCTCTTCTACACTGAATAAAGAAATCCAAGAGTCTATCCCAATTCACACAGGGGGCAACAGACACTCAAATCCCAGGATAAAGAAGACTGGCTGGATGCAGTGGCTCACGCCTGTAATCCCAGCATTTAGGAAGGCTGAGATGGGAGGATTACTTGAGGCCGAGAGTTCAAGACCTGCCTGGGCAACACAGCCAGACTTTGTATCTACAAAAAATAAAAATCAGCCAGGCATGGTGGAGTGTGCCAGTAATCCCAGCCACTCAGGAGACTGAGGTGGGAAGATCATCCAAACCCGGGAGTTGGAGGATGCAGTGAGCTATGATCACACCACTGCACTCCAGCCTGTCTCTAAAGAAAAATAAATGATGCTGGGTGCAGTGGCTCATGCCTGTGATCCTAGCACTCTGAGAGGCCGGGGCAGGAGGACTGCTTGAAGTCAGGAGTTCAAGGACAGCCTGAGCAAGAGTGAGACCCCATCTCTACTAAAAATAGAAAAAATTAGCCAGGCGTGGTGTTGTGCACTTGTAGTCCCGGCTACTTGGGAGGACCGCTTGAGCCCAGGAGTTTGAGGTTTCAGTGAGCTATGATGATGCCAGTGCACTGTAGCCAGGGCAACAAAGTAAGAGTCTGTCTCAAAAAATAATGATAATAAAAAAAATTTTTTTAAGAAAAATAAATGAAATTAAAAAAATGGTTTCCCCTATATCTCATTCTCCACTGGGCTGTCGTTAGTTACATAGAGGCTCAAGAAGGAAATGGCTACTAGCTCTACAGGGGAAGAAGGGCAAAGGCAGCGCAGCCTACTTGACCACCCTAGGTACAGATGATACACTGTTAAGGAGGCAAGCTCATTATATTAACAACATGCTTCTGGCTATCTGAAGATTTACAAAAAAGGACATGACAACTCCAATAATAGCCTATTCTGTCAAGAGCAGGTACTGAAGAGTGAGCAAAAGAAGGTACTGCTGTCAGTGATTTGAGGGAACAGATACCAGATACTGCCAAGTATCTTGTCTACAGCCTTATGGAGAAGGATTAAACCTCCAGAATTAAATGGGGCTTGCATCTACTTGCCAGAGTTTTATCTAGCACCTTCCCTAAGAAACTATGTAGAAATTACTTTGAAATCCAAATCTCCCTACTTATTAGACAACTCTTATTTTGGTCTTTCTGGAGCTAGCCTTAAAAACATCATGCTAGTTTCTATAAAATGATGAAAATGGCACACACTGCTTAAGACCTAGATAACAAGAATCCTGGAAACTCTAATTGCCTTAGGCTCCCAAATCAATGACTGTATCTTCTAGCTCTCCTCTGATTTCAAAGATATCTTTCTAGATCCTACTTTCTTTGAGATTGTCAGTGTAGTTGGGAGTTGGGAGTACATAGGTCTAGGGCAACCAATTCATTGGTCTTATTTTTAAAAGAGTAACTTAAAACCCTTAACATCCACAGATCTTTCCTTGTGAGAGCCTCTCCACCAATTCTCAGGGCTTCTTGGCTCAGCTGCTGTTGGGAAATGGATGCCTTTCGAACAAGGCACCCCTGATGTTTGGGATAGGCATTCAATTTCTGAATAGGGTAAAACAGAGTTACCAAAATCAACCACATTTAGCTGGTGAGATAGAATAGGGAAATAGAATGATGAGAAAGACTATCTTGTGAACTATTAAGTTTGTATGGATTGCTGGTCACAGACTTAGTAAGCTGACAATGTGGAGTTACATAAAAAGAAGCCACTAGAGGGAGAAAAGAGCCTTTTGTTCTCTAACCCCAAGTTCCTAGAGTAATGGTCAGGCCTAAATAAAATGTTTGAGGTCACCTTTTTGATGTGATTTACTTACCATTTCTGTATTTCTTTAATCTCCCCATACCTAAGTTTAACACGGGTGAGTAATTTTGGGATCTGGTTCTTTCTCTACTTGATTCCTCAATGTGTGCACCACCAGTTAAAAGCTCTTTTTAGGGCCGGGTATGATGGCTGATATCTATAATCCTAGCACTTTGGGAGGCCAAGGTGGGAAGATTGCTTAAGGCCAGGAGTTCGAGACCAGCCTGGGCAACATAGCGAGACTTGGTCTTTACAAAAAAACTAAAAAATTAAAAAAAAAAAAATTAGCTGGGTGTAGTGGTTCACAGGAGTTCAAGATTACAAGCGGTGATCATGCCACTGCACTCTAGCCTAGACTCCTTTTATTATGGTCCGGGCTTAATACATATATTACAGGGGATTATTTCAAAGGTAAGGAATTCTTCCTTGCTCAAATGGGTGCCACATACTGTTTAGGGACTGCCCAGTACCAAGACAAGCAGAGACATTCCTGGATGGAGATTTGGGAATTCTGTGACATTTATCAGGAAGTTACATCTGAGATCAACTCTAAATGACATTTTATCCCCAGATATAATCAGACCCATATAAAATAGCACAGATAAAGCAAAGGCAAAGTCCAAGTCAGGTCTTACTCTTCAAAATTTTTTTAACTCTTGATCTGAGATTCTGGCCTCATTTTTTAAATATTCCAGGAGAGAAGCTATTTTGCTCCTTTCCCAAACATATATATGGATTTATAATATTTGGGGTTCTTAAGCATGAAACTGTGAAACTCTACCTATTACAGAGAGATTACTGTAATCCTATCACTCTGGGAGGCCAACTCGGGAGGATCGCTCAAGGTCAGGAGTTTGAGACCAGCCTGAGCAAGAGCAAGACCCCATCTCTACTAAAAAAAAAAAATAGAAAGAAATTAGCTGGACAACTAAAAACAAATAGAAGAAATTAGCCGGGCATGGTGGTGCATGTCTGTAGTCCCAGCTATGCTGGAGGCTGAGGCAGAAGGATTACCTGAGCCCAGGAGTTTGAGGTTGCTGTGAGCTAGGCTGACGCCACAGCACTCTACCCAGGGCGAAAGAGTGAGACTCCGTCTCAAAAAACAAAACAAAACAAAACAAAACATTAGTAGTACTGGTTTCACATATACTTCATTTCACAGATATCACAACTTGCCCAACTGATGGCAAAATAAGATATTTAGGCAATTATGAGGTGGCTATCATGTTAAGAACTCCTTTTTCCTTCCGCTTTCAAATCCTTTCCTTCTTTTTATCCTTATTAAAGAAACCATGGTTCTCCCTGCTGGGTGTCTTATTTTGTTCATTCTTATAGAACAGCTTGGGGCTAAGTAGAAATAGCTGTCACTATATCTGGAGTCCCCAGCTTCCAGAGAATTATGTTTCAAAAGTTCATCATCCCACACCAGGAGTGATGGTGCGCTTTTAGTCCCAGATACTTGGGAGGCTCAGGTGGGAGAAGCACTTGAGCCCAGGAGTTCGAGGTGATAGTGTGCCTATGAACAGCCACTGCACTCCAGCCTGGGCAGCATAGTGAGACTCCATCTCTTAAATAAAAAAACAAAGTTCACTACCCCAAGATAAAATTTAAAAACAATGGATGGGCTTTCAAGGCAGTCACACTTTTTAATACATAATGTATCTGCAATACAGTAAGTACAATTCCAACAGCATTAATGAGATCTTACCAAAATGTATAACAATGTTTCTATGAAAAATGCACTCAGAGTTCCAATTTGGGATATAAGAAATATACGTAACATTTCCCTCTACTTCCTCCTTAGTAACTGAAGTAGAATCAGTTACTTGCTCCAGAAGGGTAAGGGTGATTATGAGCAAGTGGGTTGCTCAAGTGCACTATCTTACTCACCCACTTTCTTTTCTTTCAAAGGATCTAAGGCTAATCTACTTGCAAAATATTCTGCTGACACTACCTATAACTTCCAAGAATTTTTCTCCTCTTCCAGAACCAGTAGGGAATTTATCTAAAGTTTCCTAAAGGTTTTTAATGATATTACTAAGAATAATGTTCCCTCGCAGAATTGGTTTAAAAAAATAATGCTGGAACAAAACTAGTAAGTAAACATTAAAAAGCATAGAAAGGAATACATGTAAGGTTATAACCATTCCTTTCTTTCTTCTTCATTCTCCATCAGTCTAGCTTCTTAAAGTTCCTATTTTGGATCAGTCCTACGACAAAGTCAGCAAGGTCATTTGGAGGATAACTGAACACTGAAGAGTAATTCTCATATCTATCAGCTGTTTCTGAACTATTAATAAACTGAATGTTCTTAAAACTAGAATTATCTATACTGTGATTCACTACATAGGTAGATTCCACTTTCCGTCAGTTCCAGGTATCTCTCCTTAGTGTGTGCTCCATAGTTTCAAGTACTCAACCTTGACAGACACCAGAAAAAAGGCCTGTGAAAATATGTTTGGGGGTGTGTGTAGGGTAGAGAAAAAAAAAAACATATGTGTGCAAACAAATGTATATGCCATATGTGGGAGTTGGGGGGAGTGGTACTGATACAGCAAGAATGTAGAGACTTACCACATGAAGATAATTTCCTCTTTGACACAAGAAAAGCCAGGCCCACACTTTTTGATGTAATAAAAGCTGGGACTCTACAATAAACAGATCCTAAAACTCTTGGAATTATCTGAAGAAAAGATTGTTTTTCCCCTCCTAAGATGGCCATAAGATTAGATGTGAAGGTGTGTATTAACTCACTTCTAATTGGGCTATCAGCTCTCTAGGGCCCCCTTTATCCAGAAATGGCTGTTTTATCTTAAGAGTAAGAACTATGATCCTCTGTATGCTAAATAATTTTTGAGGAACCTGGTTTCATTTAGAAATAAGAGGAATTTATGGTCAAGCCAGATGATACAGATATATCTTC